ATGCTCTGAGGTACTTGAAATTGGCCAAATTGATTCTTTTCCCTTGAACAAAAGACGGAAAATTCGAGAGGATGAAGTTTAAACTTTGGCTGCAAGTTTACAAGCAGCATTTTAGACTGAAGCAATACAAAGCTCCCCAAAATAAAAGAGTTTTTGCAGTCCAAAGGTCTTGATTCTACTCACACCAGTTCTATACTAACATGGCTATATGGATTTCTCTGCAACAGCTGCTGACTTACAGAGACGCAAGGGAGAGAAAGTCGGGCTCAGTCACAGTCTTTCCCCTTCATCCTCTTCATATTCAAAGTCTTTTTTTTTTTCCCCTTGTAAATTCCTATTACTAACACAGGAGGAAAAAAAATCCCTGGGATCCCTGGCGCATCCTCGGAGTGGCTGCAGCCTCATCGTAGATGACTAGACAACCACCACTGTGCCACATAATGAGGAGCACACATGCTGCACTGGGAGATACTAATGAGGGAGCTACAGCCCCCTTAGCCCTCTCCAGTAAATCCGTGTCTGCAAGCCATGTTTTATTTATCAGGCTTATTATGGCAGCACTAAGGAGTCATTTGAAAAGGGCCGCTGTTGTCCCAGGCACTGCATAGTGCCTGCTCCGACCAGCTTCCAGGGGAGATGGATGAGGCTGGCAAAAGGTAGGGGAGAGGGATGCTACACACATAACATGTGAACAATGTTGTGGCAGCATTTATCCCATCGGCCCCTATTTGGGTGGGGGGTCAGCCTGTTTTGAGCTCCTCGTGTTAGCTGAGCACTTCTTGGGAGGGATCCCAGGTCCTGGCGAACAGATTGAAGCTGAACTTGCAATGATTTCCAGGAATGCTGCTAAGGAAGTGAGGGCTTTGCAGGCCTGGAGAGACTTGAGTGCAACCTGCAGAGCCCAGAGACTCAGAGAGGCTTCACAGGAGCCTCTTGAGACGGTCACCTCCCTGTCCAGCACTCCTCTCTGCTCCTGCTTCCAGCAAAGATCCTGTAGGACTCCCATGCTTTCACCATGCACACGAAACACTGCTGCTCTGCACCAAGGCATGCCGCTGCAGCGCCCTGGTTGTGCTGCTGCTGGCAGTGTGCGGTCTCGCTCAGATCTGCATGTGTGCCAGAGGGAAAGGGGATTTACGATCCCTGCCCCCTTCTCCGAACATCTTCCTGACCCCTCTGCACACCTTCCCAGGGGATTCTCTCCACTTTGGAGAATCACCCCTCTCACAGAGGACCAATATAAAGAGGAGTAAAAGGTGGCTAAACGAAAGATAGAAGAGAGATGAATAAATCTTTGTAAAACATATACTGCAGGTCTCAGCAGGACTCTGACAAATTGGTCTGCATTCCTTTAACATATTAGATTTCCACTTAGCCTGCTCATTAGCAAGTTAAGCTACAAGGGCTGATTACATGAAACTTATGAAGAGGCATCAATTAAGACGATAAATTCACATAACATTCCTTCTGGATGAGAAATGACGGGTTTCCTTGGTTCAGTGTTTGGTACAACTGGACTCAGTTTCAGAAAGAGAAAGAAGAAGAGAGAAGTGTTAAATGCATGCATCTGTACTGCCACCCAAAATGATGGAAGCAGTTCACAAGTTTGAAGAAAAATGTATGTCAGATAGGAATAGAAGGAAAGAACTCTCAGTTTCCAAGGCTGAACTCTAATCTGCCATGTCACATCGACAACAAATTAAAAGAGGAAGTGAAATTCCCAAGAGATGTTGCTCTTACAAGGCCGGCCCAAATGGTGCTCCCAGGCTGCGGAATGCAACACTAAATATTTGCACATATTTATCACTTTTCGCCCACACAATATCTCATCTTATTTTGCAAACACTGTGCAGCAGAACAACTTTCTAACCGCCAAAGTGTAGCCATCGCTGGTCTGCAATGTGCCGGTGGCACCTATTTTGCGCCAGCATGCGTCCTGGGAAAACTGTTAACAAAGGCGGTTTGTTATCCTGTTGCCACCAAAGAGAGAATTTAGATAGGCCTTGCAGATGGTATGCAAACCCACACGAGCTGACAGAATCATCTGTCTTTTCTTGGAAAATACTGAGCAGCTGCTGATGTCGCAGGAGGAGACGGGCCACCAGCAGTATTGTTTCTGCAGTGAGCCTTTGTAGAACCAGCCTTAGTGATACTGCAACTTAATACTGACGTATATCTAAGTTAACTAGCTAATACTAGTAATAGCTCTGTAAAGGTAGCAGATAAATAGTAATAGCGATAGTTCACCCCTGATACTCTTCAGGAGTCAGCCACAGAAAGAAGGCCCTCATCCAGAAAGTGCTGAACACCACCAGCCCTCATTCATTTCAGGGAAAATGAAAGGGGTTTAGCTAATATAGTAACATAAATGTGACTCCTCCTTTCCTGAGTAGCAGCACCAAATCTATTCAAGTGGAAAGTCATTTTTACCCCCACACTGCTGGGTTCATAGTCAGTAGCACTCCATCCGTTGAGATGCTAGATGAGGACTTCCGTCATTTTGGTTTCCTTACCCAGGATCATGTGCTAGGTGAAGGTGAACGGTTACCCCTTCCTGGCCTGGCAGATAGCAAATATGCATGCTTCCTTATTGCTCAGGACACGAGATAAGGGGTTTCCAGCTGATTCCACTTCCAGGCACTGCAAGGCCACGATAACCTGATCATTCTGAAGAGGAAATATTCTAAACAAATGCTGCTTGCACGTAAAAGTTTGTGCCTCAATTAGGATCATCTTAAGAGGAGGGGGAGAAGGGAAAGTGCTGTTCCTTTTGTGAGCACAGCCATTGCAATTCCACACCATCCGAGTTTGAAATACATGCTCCTTTATTTCGTTCCAACCAAAGAGCAATCAAACCTACTCAGGCTTGTGTTAATGATATACATTATACATACCAGAGACATTTACACTGCATATCAAAATCGATCAGAACATAAGGAAGTTAAAAAAAAAAAAAAAAAAAAAAAGACGATTGCCTTATGCTGTGAAGTTTGATTCGAGCATGATCTCTCCCGGCCTAATGGCTCAGACACATGCCAGCACAGGCTCCCGTGCTGCATTAGCGCTGCACTGGAATGAGGTAACATTCACAGTCAGAGGTGGGAGCAGACCGTACGAAAGGACATTTTGGGAAGAGGGCAGGAGGGGGTGAAATTACTTTATGCTCAGGTCGTAACTTGCGTAGTATCATCACATTGAAGACACAACGCTTCCTCGTCCAGTGCTTTTGCTACAGCCACATGCTTCCCATGACTTCAGGCTGCAGCTCCAGGCTGCTTTATTTCTGCCACATTCTTCTCCTCCCCCAGGAGTATGTTGTAACCACAGGTAAAGTCTTCAGGTTTCATTTGTTCATTTGTTTGTTTTTTGTTTTTTTTTAATCTGGACAGGAGAATTGGATAATGAACTAATTCTTCTTGTTCCTCAAGATTTATGTCATTTTCCAATTTATTGAATGTTCTGCACACACTGTATTTCAATTAAAGGCAGCAAAATTGTTAATGGTGTATTAATGACACACTACGTCTATATAAAGACACAAATATGTGTTGTGGCCAATTTTCTGGCCTCGTGAGATGACTGTTTTTTTCCCCCATAGTTAATTATCTGCGAACAGATGATAACTTTTTACCAGCCGGTATCTCTTGCTACTGCTTCACCACAAGCACTAGCAGCGCCCGCGCTGCTCACGGAGGGCGCTCGGCCGCGATCCCCCCGCTCACGCAGCCGGTTTGTATCCCAGCGCTCAGAGAACAGGCCTGCTCCTCCCTTCGCGCTGCGGTCTGACCCCAGGAGGCTGAAGCAGCCGGGGAGCGGATAGACAGGCGGCGGAAGCGCACCGTCAGCCAGCCCGGGAGGGACGGCAGGCCAAACCGCGGGCATGCATTGGAGAAGCGCAGGCGGAGCAGGCTCCGTGCCTCGCTGCAGCGCTAACACGGCGGCCCGGCGCCTCCCAGCGCCCCACAGGCCGCGACCGCGGGCTCCCCCCCCGGCGCCGCGCAGACCCCGGCCACCCGCCTCCGCCTGTTGGTTGATCCGTTGCCACGGCAACACGCTCACTCCCCCCCCCCCCCCCCCCCAGTCTTCCCTAGCCGTTCTGCCCCACGTGACCCACGGCGGCTCTCCCCGCCAGCTCGCCTGTTACCAGGGCCGCGCGAGCCGGCGGGCTGGGCTGCGTGGGAAGTGGCTTGTTCTTTCCGATTGGCTGCTACCCAAGCTCGCTGATTGGTAGGGGGCGGCGGAGCCCGGCCCGTCGATTGGTTGGGCCCGGAGGTGAGGCTGTGGGGTGATGCTGGCCGCCCGGGGGCCTGTGCCAGGCGACCCTCCGCAGCCCTGGCCCGCGCACAAAGGCCGCCCGAGGAGGGCTGGCACGGCAGGACAGGGCATAGCACGGCAGGCAGGGCCGCGGAGGAGCCCCCCGACGCAGCTGCCGCCGCCGCTCGGTGTGCTGCTGGCCGAGCAGCACCAGGCACCCGCTCAACTGCCGCTGGGTGCACGCGGAGCGGGGAGTGTGGGCGGTGCGGCCGTCACGCTCGCCGTGCGCCCAGCGGCCAATGGGAGGCCTGGGCGAACGCGAGCAGCACGCGGGGCCCGCGTGTCCCCGCCGCCTGCCCTGTCAATCATTCCCCTCCCTGTCTCCCCCTCCGCTCCCGCCCTCCCTGCCCGGTTCGCCGTGGCCCCGCCTCCCGCCCGGCCGTGGAAGGGATAACGGGGGGGGGGGGGGGAACATGGGGCGGTGATGAAGCATTTGTCGGTCTCGGCACCGTGCCCCTCGCTGCTGGCGCCCTGTAATGAGGGAGATTACCGGTCTCCGCTCTTGTGGTGGGGACGGGGGGGCTGCCGTCGCAGCACGGGAACGGGAGCCCGGCTGCCCCTGGGACTCACTGCGAACGCCAGACCCGCCCGGGGAGCGGGATGCCGGCGGGTAGGGTTGGTATGGGATAGGTTATGTAGCGCCGTGCTGACAGCCCGGCCAGGCCCGGCCCCCTCCCTCCCCCGCTGCGGGGCGAGGGGCGGAGACGGCGCGGCCGCCGCCTTTATCTGTGGTGGCGGCACGGGGGGTGGCCCTGGGGAACACCTTGTTTTAAGATGGGCGTTATAAATACGGCGCTGGGGATGGGAGCGCAGCCACGGGCGGCAGCGAACTGACGGCGCGGCCGAGAGCGGCTCCTTACCACGGTGGGTGCCCCCGCCCTTTTTCCCTGTTCCCGCCGCGAATCGGTACCTTTTCCCCCGGGGCCCACTCGAGTTCTGTTTACCGGCGTGGTGCCGGTGTGCTTTCCCCTTAGCCGGTCCCAGCACGCGGCACGCGTGGCTCCGGCAGGAGCTGTGGATTTGGGGGTGGGTTTTGCGTTTTCACTTTTTCTGCACAGCGAAAGCGGCAGCAGCGAGCGCCGCGGCTGCACCGGGCGCACCGGGAGGCTGTCGGGGTTTGGGAGGGCGAGGATAAGGGATGGGGAGGGGAAGCCTGGAAAGGGAGAGAGGGCCGGGGAGGGAGGCGGAGAGGGCACTGACGGGAGGAGACAGGCCGGGAGAGGGAGGGAAGAAGGGAGGAAAAGCAGCCCCTAACCCTGTCGCCGCCGCCTCCCAGCAGATCTCTGCTCGCCAGCAGCCGCCGAGCCAACCCTAGCCAGCGGAGGAGGGCGGACAGTGCCGGTAGCGAGGAGGTCGCCGCTGGAGGAGCCTTGAGGTCCGAGCTGCCTGGCCTGGCCTCGTGTCGCTCGTCCTCCGGCTCGACCACCGTCATGATGCAGATTTGCGACTCGTACAGTCAGAAGTACTCCCTCTTCAACGCCATGAACCGCTTCATCGGTGCCGTCAACAACATGGACCAGACGGTGATGGTGCCCAGCCTGCTGCGCGACGTGCCGCTGCTGCTGGAGGAGTTGGACGCGGCGGGCGCCGTCTGCCCGCCGCGGGAGGCCGCCCTGCCCACCGGGGACCCCGGCGCCTATTTCTCCCGCAGGGACATGTACAGCCATTACATGCTGCTCAAATCCATCCGCAACGACATCGAGTGGGGCGTGGTGCAGCCGCCGGCCGGCGAGGAGGCGGCCCGCAAGAAGGACAAGCTGGGCGGCGGCGGGCCCGCCGAGGAGGGTGAGGGGGAGGAGGACCTGGAGCAGCAGTTCCATTACCACCTCAGCGGACTCCACTCTGTCCTCTCCAAGCTCACCCGCAAGGCCAACGTCCTCACCAACAGATACAAGCAGGAGATCGGCTTCAGCAGCTGGGGACAGTGAGTGCCGGCGGGGAGCGGGGGAAGGCGGCGACCGGACCACCGGCACCGGGTACGTCGCTATCCGGCGCCGCTGCTGCCGCCGCCGGCGCCGTAGCGGGTGGTGCCCCGGGGCTGACGCTTCCCAGGACTGCAGCCGGTTTTCTATCAACGCACAAGCCAGAGAGAGAGATGTAAATTAATCAGTACTAGTTTATTAATTACCCCCCACCCCCCCCGTCCTTGTTTTTTATTGTACGGTCTGGGGCGAGCGGGTGCCGCTCCTCTCCGGGAGGGGTGGCTGCACCCGTACATGTACGAGGCAGTGGCGTAGCTGGCGGATAGGAGGCTCGGATGCAAGCCGATGAATATGACAAAACTGGCATAAAATTGCTTCTGCTATCCGGGAGGGAACCAGGTGGGCTGAGGAGCATCCCTCTGTAGCGGGATGGATGGCGGGTCACACGGTTGTACATGTGCTGGAGCTTATTTAATACTTTTTTACTCAGATGTAGAGTATATTCTAAAATAAATGCAAATGTATTAACTGAAAGTGACTTAAACTTTTTGGTATGATTTATGTTTGCTTCATTAAATGATATTTTTAACGTCTGGAATTCTTCTTTTTCTGAATTACTTCCAGAGCTGCCTTACGAGACACAGAAATATGTGCATGTGCAAGAGAGAGGGTTTTGTGGCTTTTTTTTGTTTCCCAAAGGGAGTGATTACGTAGTGATGGTAACTCCACATATCTAAAATGGATGAATGACCATATGAGCTGCACCGTACATGGCCTGAGTTCTGGTAAGCTGTTCCCAGCTGGACTGTCCAGTTGCTCTGCATTAATGCTGGCATGAAGGTCAGTGCCCCTTTAACAAAATCCGAGAAGATCAAGTATGGTTGTTCTGCGGGCAGCGATTCATGGAGGTTGGAGCAAAGCCGAGGAATGACTCTTGCTTTTTTCAGGAAGTATCTTAATGTGTCGTGGGGAGGTCTTTTATCTCCTTCTGAATAGGTCTAGGATACTTGCCTCCCCCACCTCTTGAATGTCTTTCCTCTTATAATCCTCCATGGATACTAGAGATTAATAGGGTTTATATTACCCAAATTTTATTCAGTTCTTTTTCTCTGCTTTTTTTTTATTTGCTGAAGTAATGTGCCTCAAAATTGGGTGTTTCTATCATGTTGAAATACTAAATGTGTACTTGCTGATGACAACAGAATGTGTGCATATCACAGAGCATAACCATTTAATAAACATATATGGCCTTCCATAACATACGATGTTTTCTTCTTGGGCTCTGAATTGCCAGGTTTGTAGACATACTGAAATTTTACTTTGTATTGCCATCAAATTTAGGGCTTGTTTGGTTGTTTTGGTTTGTTGAGGGTTTGGGGTTTTTTTTGGTGGCTTTTTCCTTTTAAAAATAGAATTATTCTTTCACCTTTAAGGATATTTTGGTTAATTTCCTTTTCAACCTAATTTAAAACAGTAAAGCATGAACTCTCCAGTCATGGTACTAGTTGGCAGAGGCTTGTATAATTAAAGTTGTATGTTTAAAAGTGTGAATTTTTGGAGGTTTTGCCTTCTAAGGTAAAGAAGTTTGTAAGGCTGGAAGATTTTTAGTTTGGAGATGCCTCTTCTCTTTGTAATGTTGTTAACTCACTTACCCCTCCCCTCCTGGGGCGATGCCAGGAAAAAAGTCAGGAACAAGGAAGGGATTACCCTGGTTTCCTAACATGTCTGCTCACCAGTCTTGCTGTAGTCTAATGTAATGTGAAAGATGCGGTGCCTCATGGTGGATAGTAAAGTTTTCTTCTTCAGAAGGGTAGAAAGAGAGAACATGTTCTGCTGCATGGATCCCTTCTGCCTTGCACTCAGCCCCCTGGAAACCACATTACAGGCTCTGCTCAGCAGTGCTGGTGAAACCTCAGAGGAAAGCAGCTAACACAGTTTCAACAGCGATCCTTTTGAACTTGCAGTTACATCTCCTGGTATGGATTTAAACAATGCTGGTTTAAATATTGCATGAGGGGCAATGTGGTGCTGGTTTAGGTTATTGAGTAACGTCAGAAAAAGAGTATTACATTAGTGCAGTATCACCATGAACGACACATCCATTATTGTTTCATCTTAAAAACAAGAGAGAAGTTTAGCATTATTTGGCAGCAGAGGTGTAATTTCCTTACAAGTAAAGCTGTGGGTAACAGAGGAGGTAGGGTGATACCATGACTCAAGGGTTTGTCTTGCCTGAGTGACTAATGTGCAGTTGCTGAACTGCACATGGCTCCCATGTGGGGGCACGGCCGCGTGGCTGGTGCAGTCCGGGTAATCCCAGTTCAGCCATGGCAAAAAGTGCTGAGACTCACAGGAGCAAAGAGACACAGACGCCTCCCACTTGGGAGCAGCCTTAGAATTCCCCTTTTTCAAGGTCAAGGGAGAGGATTGAGGCTCTTGGGAGCAAGAAAGAAATCTTGATGCCATGGAGGGAGGGGGAGAACAACCAATAAATACAGGAATGAATTTCCCATGCAAAGGATGTGGAAAAACAACTTAGCTTAAAAGTGGCAATTAAATAAATGCTAGTTCCTGATGCAGCAAGCAAGGATGAGATTGTGGAGTCTTATGCACTGATTTTTATATGTTAGATGCTGAAATAGGAAAAATCTCCATAATACAATTAGGTTTATTATTAGCAGTTATGTTTTTTTTTGAAGGACTGGATTGTATTAAGTGCTCCTGATTGGGCACAGAGTTCAGCAAACCTTTAGTCTGCTCTGGGGCAGTGATTCTGACACTTGATAGTGACAAATGGCATCAGTCTAAAGTAAAAGTATCTTTATGATGTCAAACACTTTGATAGGTGGTCTTCTTTCCAAGGCATGCGTGAACAAAAAGACAACTTCCTAAACTGCCATAACCATGCACAAAACGAAGGAATATATATGTGCACTGTGAGAAGCAGTTGTCATTTTTAGCTCACCTAAATAAAATAGACTCAGTAGACAGTAAGGCAGACATTAGAAGAGTAATAAATGAGATTCAGAACAGTGCGCTTACAAATTGATTACAGCAGAAGGGTATATTACAGCCAAGGAGCCTCAAGGACGTCGTTGCTCATGAGATGCATCAGTTAATATACAAAAGTGCCCACTACGTATCATTACACTTTATGAGTCAACTCTTATTTTGTGTATACAAAAGGAGAGCAGCGGTGGAAAGAGCCAAGCTTTTGTCTCAGGGCCTGTCTGTATGGATATATATGTACAAAAATAAGGACACTGGGGGTGGCCGTGAGTTCTCTGGGAAGAACAGCCTTTCAAAGCCTGCTTTGACCTGGATGGATGGCAGGTCTCTGCTGGATTAGGTGTGCATTTCAGGAATCCTCTCTGCTTCTGGCACTATAAGGTTTTCTCCATTACCCTCCAGAAGTGGGCTGCTGTATCCGCTTCTGCCCAGGAGCAGATTAAAAGTCTGAAATCAGTATCTTGACACCCACTGGGACTAGACCCACCTGCTGCAGTCCCATGTGTTTCTCCTCTGCCTCCTCAGCATACAAACCCCTTCTGCTGCTGCAAAGGGCACAGCGTGGTCAGTGCTTGGTGGAAAGCAGCAGGTAAGTGAGTGAGGCTAGGCTGCCAACTTCCTACTTTCCCTCTGAAAGCTTTTTCTTGCAGAAGGTTTTAAACAGATCAAGATATCTGTGTTTTGTGGTTTATTTCCCTGCCCCCCCCAGGCTCTTGCACCAAGACACATGAGTCATCAGTAGATTGGCTTCGCTGAAAGATGTGCTTCTGTTAGTGCCAGATGGAAGGTTACATTAGGATGTCATTACTATGGAGTTAAGCTCTGCACCCTGTTCTACAAGGGGAGGAAAAAAGAAAGGGATAGTAATCTTCTCTTCATGCCTGTGGGTTCTGTGGAAAAGTCTGCAGTGATTTTCTCACACAGACTTACTTCACAGAAGCACTGGGGGGGAGGGGAGAGAGAGTGTCTGGAAATACTGCTTTTTCTGATTTATATCTTTAAACATATCTTTTTATTTTTATTATTTATATCTAGCTAACAGTGTGCTAGGCAGTACATTCCGACAAGCTCAACTATCTCAGGTGATAATACACATGGGGAAAAAGAGGAGTCTGGTGGGTTATAACCTGCCATAAAGTCTGACGGGATTGCAAGCAAGGTGAGCGTTGCAAAAGCAGTTCCAGCTTCACATGTGTTTTTCTCTTATTTATTATTGTCTGCTAAACAAGCAGAAATACCTGATGCATTGGTTCTAAATGTTGCAAAATAGTTTTCCTTCCAGGCCACAGATTTGCACGACAAGTTTGGGTCAAAATCAGTTTTAAGTTATAAACTCCTTTCCAAAAGGAAATTTGCACGCAGGAGTGCAGTAATTGTATATCTTTTTGTTGGTAGCCAGCTACCAGAGTCGACACGCTTTATAAAAAGTAATATTCCTTCTCTGTTCAGACACACTCCTACTTATTTGACCTGGAGTCAGGATGAGGAAAACATCTTCTAGTTTTTGTGTTCTTGAATTTCGTTCTGGAAGAGATGTCACAGAAAAAGCTTGGAAAGTTTAGAGAGAAAATAGGTGCCTCTGGATTAAATCACAAAACAGTGAATGAGCTTGCCTTATAATGTTTGTGAGGTTCGTCATAGCATCAATTAAAGCATTGTATCTTTTTATCATGTTTATCTACATACATCTGATTCTGATATAATTCTTTCATTTTGTTCAAGCCTGTTATCAACTTTCAGTTACAGACAACAGGGTTGATGACCCACAGGCACAGACACACCCCTTAAGACTAGCTGAACCTTTTCAAGTGCATCTCCCTTTTCATCTGCGTTTGAACTGAGAAGATGGGCAGAGTGCCTAAAGCTGTGACTCAGGGTATATCGCAGAAGCATGGCAACCATCTTGCTGTGGGATTGCTGTCTGGCCATTGACTTATGTGCTGGAGCAGGGAGAGGATGCAAGGTGAAGCTTTTCTTCAGGGATTTCCTCCAGATTGTGCTGTGGTGGAGAGGGAGAAAGTCAATAACCAACATGGTTTTTCTGTGTGTGCAAAGAAAGGGAAATGATGGAGCATCCTTTCACCCCTCCTGAGCTGGAGGGCTGGTGCCCATACACAAAAGCTTTCCACCACACTCAAGGCAGAAAAGATTTATTTGAGGTCTAAGTTAACAGCTTTCATGGTTTATCAAAACACATGGGAGTTGACAGATTAAAGACTTGCCGAGTCAGCAGTAGTCTGCCAACAAGCAGATGTTGCATGGATGGACGCTGTTTCAGTGCGGAGATTAGATATGTTGGATAGACTACACCCTTCCTGCTTTTTTATGGGTCTGTAGGAAGCTTGACCAGTCAGCTGGTTTCACTTATACCACAACTGGAGGAGATTTCACTGGAATCCAAGAATGGTCTTCTTTTTGTGTGCAAAGAAATAGTTCACAAGTATTTCAGTGCAAAATTCTTCTCCCCTTGTTTCTCTTGCAGGTAGGCTGTCTTGCCTTTCTCTTGCAGGTAGGAGACACAAGACCTCAATTAGACATACCTCAACAAAAGCGGTTTTCCAAGGTTTAATATCTGTGCTTCTGCAATATTATATTTCACCTTACATTTGAAATGGCTTCCTCAGACTTGTCATCATAAAGAGGGGAATGAGCATCCTCCCCTCAAAGTCTGGAACTGAAATCTGGTTTTCTTCTGTTTTCAGGCGGATTAAGCAACCTACAGAACTTCTTGCACTCTGGATGTCCTGGTTTCGGCTGGGATGGAGGACACTAGACAAGTTAGTTTGCATTGTATTCTTATTATCAGAGTATTTTGAAATGGGAATGCATATACTTCTCATAGCGCATACTTCTTGAGCCTGATGTATGCTGTTAACTGAAGAGCTGGGCAGACATGCACTAACTAGTTAGAGTACACTGACAGGTACAGTGGAATCTGTCTTTTTTGCAGGGCTAGTTACTTGCTTATTTAGAGCACTGAAGGGAGAAGCCAACAAAGCCACCACCAACTCAAAGCAGTTACCAAGTTAACAGCTACAGAGGAACCTGCTCCTGCAGCTGTGAACAGCCCACACGAGGACAGTGGGCACAGCCTTTCTTTGAGACAAAACTCTTTGTCTTTTAGCTCAAAGTATGAAGTCCGTCTATGGACAGATTTTCTTATCTGACTACCCAGCAGTGGGTAATAAGATGTCTCAAGACACCTACTTCTTGCTTTCCCACGTGTGCTGTCCATCACCTTCTTCTTAT